ATACGGTTGCTCGCTTCTTCACTACTGTGTGTGTACACCTTATCATTTTGTTTGTTGTAGCTCTCTTCTACGGTAAATTTTTTTTCATCCGAAAACGAATTTCCCGCTGTTTTTTTTCCCGCGTACCACTTCAACAAAGCGCGGCATCTCTTCAGTCTCAGGTCCATTAGACGAGCATTCAAACGATGTCCTGGTTTTCTTCGATATGCCCGAAGCCCTAAGTCTTCATTTAACACCCTTTTCACCGTGGTTCTGCTTAACCCCATCTGAAGGGCCAACAGTTTCTGCTTACGTTGGGGATTTCTTTGAATTCGCGCCTTCACAGTTTTTATCACTGCTGGAGTCCTAACAGACCGAGGGCGACCACTTCTTGACCTGTCATCTACACTAGAGTCTTCATTATATCGTTTGATGGTAAAATAAACGAATCTTTTTTTATATTCATTTCATTTTTCAATATGTCAAAATTTGAATTGGTGCGTAACCACAACGATGCAACGCAATAACTGCAACACGGTCTTTTATAAGCGTCTCCATACTTAAAAATGAGTAAAATTCTAAAAAGTATACATTTTTATTTTCATGAACAATTCGAAATTCGAATTCAATAAACTTCTTTGTGGCCAGCATTCTAACAGATTTTTTTTTAATGTGTGACAATGATTTCGATTCTGGCATGATTCTCTAAAGCTAAACTTAAATTTGACAACAGTGCATCCTTGTCCATCTCTATATAGAATGAAAAGGTGAGACTGACCTTAAATTTAGTTTTAAGTTTAGAGAATCACGCCAGAATTGACACGACTACCTACTTATGACATGACTGTGTACCTATTATTTTGTTTGCTTTATAGCGCATAACACGTCCTCGCACAGGCCCTGCCAGAATACCAGCGCTGACACAGTGAGAGAATATTTTCTCATTGTATCAGCATAAGCTGAGGCAGGGTCCTGATTGGCCGTCTTAAATCTAGTGATTAATTATTGTTCTTAGGTTAAGTTTCTTTTTATATTTTTTTGTCTCTGTTTTTATATACAAGATGGCCAATAAAGATTTTTCATTTCATTTCATTTCATAGAGAAGCGGTGAAAATGATCCTTTGTTCTCATTTGTTCGATTCTTTAGTTGGATCGTCGAATTAGTAAGTTTTTCTCTCTCATTAGTTCGATAGTCGAACTACTGAGATTTTATTGTTCTCATTTGTTCGACCGTCGTCGAACTTATTTTCTTTATTTATCCATTTTCATTACCAGAACCTCGAATGGTTGGAATGGAACCAGACCGTTATGTATGGTTTCCTGGGACTTTTTTCTAAATAGGTATTGATTTTTATAAATGTTTATGGATGCAATATTGATGAAGGTCGAACAAATGAGAACAATAAAATCTCAGTATTTCGACGATCGAACTGATGAGAAAAAAAAACTCACTAGTTTGACGATCGACCTAATGAATCGAACAAATGAGAATAAAGGAAAATGATCCTTGATAATGTAAAAATAAGTTTGTCTGAATTCCGTAATGATGATTTTTTTATGAGAATTTAAGTAAGTATTCCATTTTGACCCCGCTCTTACTAGGCGGCGCCAGGGTACTGGTGGCACTGGCGCCGCAAGGGCTAGAGCCGCCTCTGGGCATAGAGCACTAAAAGTGGCTTTGATGGCAGTGGCACGCTGTTAATGCAGTTTTTGGGTAGACGAATTGCCGGTGGTGTTGAATGGTTTACGCCCCCCTCTAGAAGTGCTTGTGGTGTGACTGCAGCCGAATTAACTTAGGGTCTGGCAATTCGATTGCCGGGTGTTTTTTTTTTTGAGGATACAAAATAAATGATGAAACTACTATTTCTATTGATAGGTTAAAACCCGCACATATTCTGAGCGAACACGATTTAAACGTTAATTTTGATTCTAATGCTTTTAGTTGTAATAACAATTATGATAGTACCAAACACGCAGACACTTCTAGCAAAGTTTTAATTCCTAGAACGACGCGCAGCAGTGGGCGCGTTATCAAGACACCGCGCACCGGTACGTTTTGTTATATGCAGCGCACCTACCGTTTGCTGTATTACTAATTGTGAGTTGTGCATAATTTCGGATATCTTATGTGGTACTTTATTATTATGTAATATTTTCGCATAAAAAGGGGATGATGTAGGGACACATTAGGGAAGATGCAATATTTTTATTTTTGTTTTCATTTTAAAGAATTCCATGTAGAATAAACCACAGATATATTAAAAAATTAAAACATTTTGATTTATCGGAAACAATGCAGTTTTAAATTGACACTTTAAATTTTCGCGCGAAAACGAACCTATATTTGCGATAACGTCACTCCTGTCTGTCACTGGTCGTACTTGTTCGTTGCTGGCTTTAAATTTTCATACTTTTGCATATTTTTTCGAATTTCGAAATATTTTTTTGAAAAATTTAAAATGGACTATCCATCAACATCATGTGATCATAAAAATACCACTAATATTCCGAAAAAAAGCCGTGTTGACTCATGTTTTGTGCCAATCTACTTCAACAAAGTTCCCAAATAAATTGTTTTTGACTGGAATTTCTGACCCAAAACTGAAAAAAAAGTGGTTTCAAGCTGCGAAGAGAAATGACAATTATTCTCCAAAGACCATTATTCGATGCTGAGAAGATCACTTTGACGTAAGTCGGCGAATATACTTGTTATATGTTTAATTAATCTGCTTGTACGTAAAAACGCATTAGTAACCTACCTAATACTTACAAAACCTGTCTATAACATATTTTGAATTTTACAGTTGGAGAATGACGTCGAAAATTAGATAAAGTTTAAAATGTGTGGCACAATCTTCACATTGGCAGGCGGCAGGACTGAACCAAGCTTTGCGTTTCATTTAAAATAACTGTAACACGATAACCTTCTTTACGTACTTTATGCTCCGGAGAACTCGACCTTTTACTGTACATAATTTTCCAATTCTTTTAATTTGGACATAGCCGATTGCATTATAGCCGTAAGATTTGTAGAAGCCGCTGAATAAAATACGAAGTTTAACAACTACGATTTTTACATACCGTAGTAATTTAGTCCCTTTCATTTCTACACTTAAAAACTCTGCAATTTGGACAAAAAAAGTTATAACCATGTCAACGCTAACTCTTGGTAAATTCCTGGAGTCTGCTTTGATAAACGCAACTTCCATTTTTATTAAATGTAAAAAAACGCAATAAATATTCCCATAAAATAACTTTAACAACCATACCCTCAAAGAAGTTGTCATAACAGGAGTGACGTCACTAAACGCTGATTGGTGTTTTAAAATACGTTCCGTATCAAGTATTTTTAATTAGTAATAATTGTTAAAAAACAACATCATGTAAAATAAAAACGTTGCAGTGGCATTTCTTTTATATTTTTTTAACATTTTGATCATAAAATTTTCATAAATATTATATATGCATCTTCTCTATTTTAGTCGCAATAGCGCTATTGAACTTTAATGTGTTTTCTTACTTTCCAAATCCTTCTGAACACGGACTTATAGTAATACAATCAAGCGATGTATGATTATAAGGTTATGCTGTCTGCATATAAGAATGATTGGTCTCGCTTCTCATGACCAGAAACCGCCAGCGTAGGCTGGGCGCACATATCAGGTTTTTCCGCCGGGTTCCCGGATGGTGATATCCAAGGAACTTATATACTAACTGGAATGGTTATGAAACAATATGGGAATTCAAAAAATGTACTCTACTCTACCTAATTATACATAAAGTCCATTTTTGTTTCTGCCTTCATAAGGGGGGAAAATACTCCTAGCGCGACAACGACGAAAGTGGAATCTGTCCCTCTCTTGCAACTGTTTGGGCACACTACTAGGACGAGACAGATTCCAGATATTCGGCTATGATCTTGGAACGATTTAGAGGGTCGCGTAAGCATTCCAGTTAGTATTTAAGTTCCTTGGTGATATCAAAATAATCAGCCTACCATTTTTTATAAGTTTTACAGCCGTGAACTTCTCAATTTCGGCCATTAATTACCTAGTTCATTTTATCACAAGATTCTAAATCAAGTCAATTGTATATATATATCTAATAATTTCATGACATTTATAAACAGTTAGCAATCAAATTTATTAAAAACAAAAATTATCGTATTCTTGACTCAGTTTTTACTGGGTTAATTTAATATCAGTATCGGACCCGTTAATCCGGACAAACATTATCCCACCTTCTATGTACTGATTCCATACAAAGATAGCGAAAATTATATACAAAACAAGCCATATCTGAGGTACTGTTATGAATACGCAAGGTATAATAAGATCAGACAGGAAATATCAGATAAAATGGGATTAATTATTCCGGAACAAAAGTGGTGAGGAGGCGGTTTCATTATTTTACGAAAAAAATGGTTGCCTGTAAAGTCGGTTTTACGGGCGAAGATTTTACGTGACAACGTCTTTTTCTCGGTAGAATATTTATTGATATGAATATAATTAAATTGCACAATAGGAACAAGGAATTGAATGAAAATAAGAATTGCACAAATTTTAACTATAGAAATATATTTTGTTTACTAAAACATTGTACATGTAAACTTAAACTTAACACGAGAGACTCATCGTAACGTTACCGAGCGTTACACTTTTTCATAAGTGACTCCCAGCCGCAACCTAATTTAAGACGTTGTCACGTCAAAAATAAATACCTACATTAATAGATAATAATGTGCCAAAAAAACTATTAAATATTTTTCATATCTTCCATGTTTTACTCCTGCCTTGATTCAATTACATAAAAAAAAAATACCATATATTTTTAATATGTCTAAGAATAAAATTAAGTCTCTGTAGCTGTATTCTATAAGGATATAGCAGACGTAACATTATAGATCTTTCCATAAGCTACATTTACAATAAATGGTTTCTCGGTAAAATGAAGTGAAAATAAACTTTCTTTGTTATTTTGAATCGTTCAATAATTATTATTAAAATGAAAACTATTTGATAAAACACGGTTTGGTGTTTTTTTCTGAAAGTTATTTTTGTATAATTTTCTCAATTTGGCGTAAATTAGAAAATCAGTTCTTGCAACCCTGATACCACCAGATAACTATGTCCTTAAATCTGTTCTGTTTCTATTATTTATGTCATTGTCAGTTTTGTGCACAAGCAAGTTTGTTTGAGATAGTGTAAAATATTCTCTAAGTTTATACGTTTGTTGCGGTGCGTTTACAATCTTCACTGTATTGTTCTTGCTTGTGTTCGCTTAAAGACATTGTAGGCTGCCTTCATGTTTCGATCTTACTGACGTACTCATTTATTGTTTAAATACACTTTGAGACTCTCTTTAAACAAATGTAATAATAGGCCGGCACCAAAATGCTAACTAGTATTTTTAGGGACTTTCTATGGATTATACTTGCTTACTTTGTAAAATGTGCAGTTAGTGACGATGCATCAAGTAATTTGATGAAAATTTACAAAGCAAAATATACTCTAGATTTAAATGGTTGCAGTTTATTAGAAAAACAATGTTCGCGTTTGTCTGAAGACTTAGCAATTTTATCATGTGCACTCAATGCAACTCATAATAACAAAACACAAATCAACAATAAGTGTCAACATAGAATATGGGCTTATCAAGCAGAATTACTGAAAAGTTCATTCCTAGATTTTAAGTTAAAAGAACCCTGTACCAACGATCCTACAGTATCAGAATGTTTGAGTGCATCTGAAAATACTGTAGACTGTGTTTTTAAGAAAAAACCTGGTGTGAAGGCTAATATATGTCTTAGAATGATTATCAAGATTGAATCCTTGATTTTTAATGATTGGCAAATAATTGGGAATTTCTTAAAAAGTTGTTTTGATGACATTCAAACATATTCATGCGGAAGAATACCTTCTGATCCTAAAAGTTTGTCTCAAACAAATACTGTAAAGTGCCTTCAAAACATAGAACAAGAGTTAAAACCAGAATGTCAGTCTGAAATGTTGTTACTTAAAGAAATGAAGTACAGCACTTTGCAAATGGATAAAATTATATTTGCTGCTTGCAATTTAGATCAGAAAAACTTTTGCCCTGATGAACTTCCAGGATCATGGTTAATGTATAAATGCCTTGTTGCTCACAAATATGAAAAAGGTTAGTTAATAACTTTTTTTTATTTTAAGTTACAAATATTGATTTATAATATGATAACCAATATTTTATATTATAAGAAAAAGTTGAGACTTGTTATTGTCTCAGTATAATAGTTTTTTATTTTCCTATACATAGAAATATATCAATCCAGAAAATACACTTATTTATTCTACAGTATTACAATATAAAGACAATTATATATATCCAACACATACCAATTAGCCTAGCCCCAAAGTAAGCACTTTAAGGCTTGTGTTATGGGATGCTAAGGTAACGGATAGAATACATATACTGTACATATATAAGTATATCTATATAGAAATACATATTAAACATCCATGACTGGAGTACAAATGCTGGTATTCATAAAAAAACACATCTGCCCCCACCAGGATTCAAACCTGGGACCTCCCGAGTCGGTGACACCATGAAACCCGGCATACAAACCACTCTGACATGGAGTACATTGACGAATTAAATTACTACAACTTAAATACTACCTAATGAATAAAAATATAATATAATATATTTTATATTATATTATATAAACATGGAATTTTGATTATCATACTAATATTTGACCTCTTGAGTAGAAGACACCACTGGCACCACAGAGGTCATCAAATTAAGTATAACATATTAATATTTCATCTGATTTTTACCAGGTATGACAAAAAGATGTCAGGATCAATTATTCTATGGTCAAAGAAGCATGGTTTTGAATTACAAAATGAGTAAGGGATTTGTAAAATCTTGTAAAGAAGATATTAGAAAATACCATTGTAGAAAAGGTGTAGTTGATGACAAGGATGTGCGCTTGGCTCAAATATTATTATGTTTAGAAAACATATCTCGCAATGAAAGCATAAAATTAACACCTGAATGCATCACTGAAATGATTGATCACAGAAAATTGTTGATGGATGATTATAGATTGTCACCTGAATTAATGCAAAACTGTGCCAATGATATCACTGTTCTATGTAGAGGAGTTGAAACTGGAGGGAAAACTATTCATTGCCTAATGGACCATGCAAGGCCTCGAAGAAGGAAAGATAAGAGAATAAGTGTGGCATGTCAAAGATCTCTAGAGATATTGGTGCAGGAAGCAGACCTAGGTGAGGACTGGAGGGTGGATCCCATCCTAAGAAAGGCCTGTAAACCAGTTGTTGACAGAGCTTGTAGAGAAATAAATGGAGGCAATGGAAGGGTTATGTCCTGTCTAATGGAGAAACTTGGAACAGTGCTTATGTCTCCTGAATGTGAAACAGCATTATTGCAAATTCAATATTTTATTTCCAGAGATTTCAAACTTGATCCCCAATTATACAAAGCATGCAAATATGATGCTGTTACTCAGTGTAAAGCAAAACTACATTGGGCAGATTCAGGTGAACAACAATCTGAAAAAGATCCATTAGTATTACCTTGCCTATACAATTATGCTTACAATCTAAAGGGAACTTTAAAACCAGCCTGTGAGCAACAAATTAGAAGAGTAATGAGGCAAAGGGCTGTAACTGTAGATTTATTACCAGAAATTGAAGACTTTTGCATAGATGATTTAGCAAATATATGCTTTGAAAATACTGGCAAAGGAGAAGAAATTGCATGTCTGCAAAACAAAATAAAAGAATTATCACCAAAATGCAGAGAGGTTGTGACAAACTTTACTGAAACTCAGAGTGGTCACATAGAGCTTAATGCTGTTGTAAACAATAATTGTAGGGTACCAATTGAGAGGCTGTGCTCCTCAGAGCTCAAGAGTAAAAAAGATGAAGATGATATCATGGAATGTCTGATCAGCCACAAAAATGATCCTGAAATAAAAGCAAATGTTAAATGTCGAGCCGCCATAGAACATGAACAACTTATTTCGCTCAAAAATTATCGATTTACTAGAAAATTTAAAAATGCATGTAAGTCTTATGTTGTAAGGTTCTGTCCCAAAGCTCAAACCAAAAGTCAGGTAGTGGCTTGTTTGAGTGAAATTGTACGGAATGATACTATCACCAGAAGAAAGCACACAATATTTAAAGATTGTAGGCAACAATTGAGAAGTCAATTATTCCAACAAAAGGAAAATATAGACTTTGATCCAGAGTTAAAAGAATCTTGTAAAGATGATCTTCAAATATATTGTCCTAATGTGCCCCATGGAGAATCTGCTGCTTTGGAGTGCCTGCAAACTGCTGATGGCAAATTGAGTGATAATTGTAGAAGAGCCATATTTGTTGTAAGGAAACAAGAATTTAATGATAATGCTATTGATTACCATTTGATCACAAGTTGTAATGATATGATTGATTTATACTGTCACAATACAGAAACATCTAAAATCTTAGATTGCTTGAAGGTAGGTAAATAATATATTTATTAAGATACGTTAATGTGCTTGAATTTATTCTTAGTGTTAATTTTACATGGCAGATTCATGGAGCACTTGTGTGATGTTTTATAAATTCTGTGTTTTTATTATATAAATAACTTTTTATAGGCACACCATCAAAAACAAGATTTTGATGAAAATTGTAAAGTGGTTATAGTTCACAGGATGATAGAACAAAATACTGATTATCGATTTAATAATAACTTACAAAATGCTTGCAATGAAGATGTGAAAACACACTGTTCTAAAATTATTGGTAAGTACTAATAATGTGCTTATTTTTGAAGTTATACTTCTTTAGGCGCGTTATGAAAAAATGATGAGAGTGAAATTATAAGATGCGCGCGCATCACTGTAACACAAAAATTTACTTTTGTATTTACCGCACATTAAGAAAATCTACCAACAAAATAGAAATAGAATCTCAATTAAGTGGGTGCTAACGACTGCATTGTGAAGGCCTATCAAAGGTATTTATTAATCTGGAACAACGGAACCAAAGCGCGATTCAGGAGACTACAGCGCCATCTCTTGACCATTGGTGTAGTAGAACAATAAACCACATCTTTATTTTTTGTAATAAAGTAACAGTTATAGGTATTCATATTTATAATATTTATCCACATGTTTCTAGTTTGTATATTCGGAATACGTGTTTGAGTTTCATACAAGTGCAAATCACATATGTTCTAATAAATTATATTCAGTAGCGATTTTAATTGAATATTTTGATTATTTATTTATTTTTTCAAATTAAAACTGAACTTTATTGACTGTGTCCTTTTCCAGACTTTTTATTAATTTATTGTAATTAATTATTTGCATGCAATTAAAAACTAATTTTAAACGATGCCAAAGAAGGATAACTTCTCACGCGCCTACATAAGTACACGCAGCCATTTTTTTTAAACCTAATATTACGCCAACTTTCGGCGATTTCCTCTAACATAGTCATAGCTTTAATATACTTGGCAATCAGATGGTCCCACCAGTGAAGGGAGAGGTGTTGGTGCTTTATTCTTGTGGTTGTGATCTGTGCGGTCCTACAAGAACAGAAGAACAAAACCTAAAACCTCAGTCTATAAAATTCAAAATATCTACTAGAATAATAATAAAGAGCCTCCGCTCCTTTGGTGCCCCAAGGCCTCCAGTCTCAAGAATGTGGTGCTGATTGCCAATTGGCCATATAATCAAAAAAAAATTTTTTGCAGCTAATGAACCTCAAGATGTTGAGCTTCAAGGAAAAGTATTATATTGCTTGAAGGAGCAATTCAGGTTATCGAAACTCACCACTCCTTGTGAAAATGAGTTAGCAAATGTTCTGAAAGAACAGGCTTTGAATTACCGTCTTGACCCACTGCTTGGTAAATTGTGCAAAGCTGAGATTCAAACTATCTGTTTGCCAAATGATTCCATTACTAATTCAAATGGTCAGGTGAGCTGGACTTTTTTTTAATAGTTTCTAATAATGCATCTTTAGGCCAGGGTACATACAAAAATAGCTATCTTGTTTTAAGCGTGTTGCAACAGGGAAGAGATTTGACAATCCAAAAGTACTGATATCGTATGGCCCAAAACAATCGACAATCCACCAACCTTATAATGCCGCCATGGCTTTTCGTATTTTTCATCATCTACTTCTTTCTTTCTTAATGCCTCAGCTGTGCTTTTAAGGTTTTTCTGTAAAATTTTCTATCTACAGTATTTTTTTTCTATTATACAGGGTTCTAAAACTCTGCCACATAGTTTGGGGACACCTGTATATTAATTACATAATAAACAGCTAAGACTTAGGTGCAAATGTTCATAATTCATCATACAAACATTTATCCCACCGGCATTCAACTGATCCGGATTGTTGAGTAAGCGATACCTTTAAAACCTGTGTACATATCATTCCACCATGAAGGTCATTAACCAGGGACATTAGAAAAGGCTGTAAGTTTCGAGAATACAATTTTCAGTATGGTTGATGTCACGATCTTGCCCACGATAGCCTTCCAATGGTGGTTAATAAATTTTATGTGTTCAGTTTTATGCTTCAACTCCAGTCTATAGCAAAACATTATTTTTGTTTTTTTAATGTGGTTTAAATTTTGGTGATGGACTGTGGGTGATTTAGGCCACGTCGTCTAACTCGAATTTTGCGGGCAGCGGGACGACGGCGGTGCGGGGAACGTAGACTCAGTTTCGTAACCTTTGTTGCGTGTTCGATTCAAATTCGTTCTGAACCTTTTTCCGGCGCTGAAACCCTTTGTAGCGTGACACAGAAACCGATAACAAACGGATTTGTGGCGGAGATGAGTAAACTACCCCTTCTACACGTAGGAAGACGAATCCAAAGATGGCAGCTGCAGATACATCTGTCGACGTGTAGAGGAGGCATCACACAAGTGTTCTCAATATCAATTCGCATAGACTAGTCAGGCTAAGCAGGTTTGAATTTAGAGGTGCCTGGGCCTTGGCTCCTTCGGAGTGGAAGTTAAACCCCTGAACTGGGCCGGACCACGTACGATTGGCAGCCCCCACTCCAAAGAAGCAAAAGGACGTCGAGTCAAAGGTTTTCTCATATAGTAGGAGAGCTACTGAACCCTCCGAGTAACGGTCTGTCTGTAAGGCTAGGAATTCTTAAGCCTACCATTCACAGGCGCGCCAATCCGCCGGATTTGTCGCTGGCGACAAGTCCGCGGACAAATCCGCGTGTGAATGTATTGGAGAGCGCGGCTCGCGGCTCGGCGCGGCGCTCGCCGTCGAGAGACGCGAGCGCCGCGCCGCACCCCAGCCGCGCCGTACAAATCCGTACGTGTGTGTGCTTGCACAGATTTATCGGCGAACTTGTCAGTCATTTGTAGTTGTAGTGCGTGCACGCAGAACCACCTCTTAACTTGTTAATTCTGTATCACGTCTATATCACTTTTTTGACGTGTATGCGATAGTGTTTTAAGTCAAAAAGTTGAACGTAATACGCATTTAAGTTGATATCAAGTTAATATCATTTTAAAGAGTTGATCATAATACGCTTAATTTGATGTCATTTTGATATCGCATTTTTCGGAAAGCATAATACGTAATGTGAAATTGACATCAAAACAATATCATAATTAGCGAGCATAAAGAGCTAATTGTATCTCTTCTACAAGGGGTTCATCTCTTCTACGCATGTTCTCGGCATGAGCACGTTCTAAATAGTCCATTACTAACACGAAATGAGCCATTTTACTCTTTTTTATTAAAAAATAAAGGAATTTGATACAGAAAAACCACCTCCTAACTTGTTAAGTCTGTATCACATTTTTGACGATTATGCAATACTCTTTTATGTCAAAAAGTTGAACGTAATACGCATTTAAGTTGATATAATTTTAAAGCTGATGTCATTTTGATATCGCATTTTTCGGAGAGCATACTGCGTAATGAGAAATTGACATCAAAACAATATCACAATTAGCGAGCATAATTGGCCTGCAGTTGTGTTGTTTGTATCACGAACGAGTAAACGAGTATAATAACATGTCGTTCGGCGATCATAAAGAGTTTTGGCAAGAATTTATCCTGCTGTTTAAAGAGAAAACTAAAGAGAAACAGGTGGTTTACAGGACTGAATGCATTGCAGCAATTTTAAATGCGTATATATTGTTCGTTGTTTCAGCCATTCCTTTGTCCAGACGCGCTTTTTCTTTTTTTGCTCCGTTAAAAGTATTGCACCGTCTACTGAAGCGACTTTTGTGCGTTTGGAAAGCACCGGTGGCATGGTAGGGTAGGGAAGAACGATACGCGCGAGGCTCACCAAAGTACACAAGCGACTGGACTGCAACTCGGCGCTCGTGTAGTGTGTGGGCAATGACGGATTTGTCCACGGATGGGTACGGCTCGGGGTTCGGCTCGCGGTGCGTGTAGTGAATGGTGGGCTTTATTGTGTTGAGCCATAATCATGCTTAGTACGGTAAGCATCGCCTAGCATGTGTTTGTTTAAGCGATTTATAGTCAGTGGCGGCGCTAGGCGTCGGCGACGTCGGCCACCGCCGACGGCATCGCGCCTGAGGGGCCTCGCAAAAAAATTTTACTAGTTACCTATTTATTTTCGTTTCTCCTGGCCTGGCTTAGGTAGTCGACCCCGAACAATTCGGGGAAAAAGCTAAGCAGATGATAATGACTTTTATTATTTTTGAACACGTGCGTGATGGAAGCGAGTAGTACTTTACGGGTATTCAGAATCACACACTATTTTTATAATTAAATTTCTATGTTCGTAATTATTTTTTGTCATAATTTGATTATCAACAATAAAACTCGTTTACTTATACGTTATTTTATAATTTGGCTCACTTAATTTAACGGTTTTTTACTGCGAAGTAAAATAGGCCTCGCGAACTTGATGTCGCCGACGTCCACATGTGGTCTAGCCCCGCCACTGTTTATAGTAATAATAATAATCTTTATTTAGACCAGCATATAAGTAACATTACGTCTTATAAACTATAGACACCATTTAAGAGCTTAAGAATATCAAAGACAAACATAGTAAAACATATATTTTCAACTTTACAGAAGAAAGTTTAATTTAATGTATTTAATACACACCTTTCGTTTCACCTGGCGGGTACTTGTGCTCATCGTAAACGCTTGGCAATTTTTTTTAAACTTAAAAATTAATTTGCATAAAATCATCAAGCTTACAGCAACAAGTTTTTTTTAAATATTTTTTTGACAATTTCAAAAATATAGGGCTTAATGACCAGAGATGTACAAAATGGTTTTAAAAAAGCATTTAAATACAAAATGCAAAATACTTTTCAGATTTACTATTTCAAATGCAAAATACTAAATAGTTTTGCGTTTTGTATTTCAAATGCTAAATGCAAAACAGGTATTTTCAAAATACTTTTTCAAAATAAAATACCCCCTGACCAAATCACAGATATTTTTATTTATTATAGATACATATTTAGTTATCATACATGAGCAATAGAGACACACAATGCCGAGCCGAAAAACAAACGTCTAATAACATATTACATATGATTACACTTTTCTTATTAAAACTAATAACTGGAACTGGACTGGTATTGTTAAAAAGTGATAAAAATAAATATCATTGTTTATTTATTACGCTTTTTAACAATACCAGTTGTTCGAATACATCATCACTCATTTTTCTTCTGTGAGGTCTCATTATCATCCCACCATACGAAAAAAGTCTTTCTACTGGTGCTGAACTTGGTAAGGATGTGTTGTATTTAAAAAATACTTTTTTTACTGTAGGATAAGCATTTAGCATCTCCAGACTTGTGCTCTCATCCTTTAAATATTGCAGGGTTTCCAGATCTATTGTAGTATTATTAGCACTACCACCCTCACTGGTTGCCGAGGAATCTGAATCCTGGAACATGTAATAAGACTCGCTTTTTTCTCTTTTTCTTTCCGATGTCTGTGATAGGAGGCAGCTTTTTAAATTTTCATTTTTAAATTTCCTGACTTCTTGGATAAACAGCTCCCTAAGATGCTCCTTCTTATTTTTAGGCACCCACTTTAATTTGAAAAATGGATACGATATTGCTGCCAGAATGCTGTCCTTGGATCTTGGGTTATCTAAATCAATCATATCATAACCGTTTCAGTATTATAGAAATAATAACAACACTTCAATATCAGAAAAGTAGGTAATCAAATCAGTAACTACTTCACTAGCACCAGAAAATAATAAACTCGTCGTGAAATCAAATCGTCGGTGTCAACGGCTATGCGTTTCATATCCATAAATTCAAAGCCATAGATAATGTTCGCCGTTTTCGTTGGAAATTGACACTTGTCAGACATTACTTGACATAAGGCGCGCACTTTGACCAAAGAAGAAAAAAATGTCGCGCATGGTTAGCAGGCGCCTCTATCGGTCGAATTCGGCAATACAAGCGCTTTTTTTTGTTTGACTGGTAATGTTGGCTAATCTTAATCACAAAGTATTTTGCATTTTGAAATTACTAATATTAAAAATACAAAATGCATCTCGAAAGGCATTTCAAATAAAATACAAAATACTTTTCACTGAAAGGTATTTAAATACAAAATATAAAATAGGTATTTTGCATTTTCTATTTGCATTTAAAATAGAAGTATTTCAAATAAATCACATCTCTGTTAATGACATGCAGGCCTGAGGAGTGCCAGGCGATGCTTACCGTACTAAGCATGTTATGACTCATCACCATAAGAATTTCTAGCCTTACAGACAGACCGTTACTCGGAGGGTTCAGTAGCTTTTGGTCTAATAGTCCACAAACGCTAAGCATAATGGCAAGTTATACCTATTCCTGTGCTGAATCTTCCTCGGAATCTGGTTTGTTCGGGGCTAGAAGTCATGTAACCTATTAGCGAGACGATTCGTAATGACTCTCGAAAACAACTTGTCGATGTGGCTCAGCAGCGAGATGTGTTTGTATCCTTTTACGTAGGGTGTTGTCACCTTTTTTGAAGGAAAGTACCACTGCTGAAAGATTTTACGTGCTGATTTTTCGCTCGTTTTTAGGATTTCTGTTGTGTCTTTCGTTTTCCTCTTGCGTCTTGTTGTTCGTCAGTTATTTCAGAGCAATATTAATCTCGTATAGGCTGACGTACGGAATGTCTTCGGCACAGTGTCGGGTTATTTGGTTCTGGGGTCTTTAAGCCAAATCATCAACAGGTTTCTGTGTTGAAGTGTATATCCGTCGATAGAAGCTCTCAACCCGTCTTAAAATTTCAAGCTTCCTTTATAACATGGTAATGGAACGTTAAACAATGCTCCTTGCTGGTGCCAGTTCTTTATGTGTAGTAAGGCTGCTGTGGGGATCTGAAGTAACAGGTAGGTATAGGACGAAGCACCTTCCGTGGGCACCACTAAAAGAGCCCTGTAAAGTTTGATCATATCTTCTTCTTACTTAACGTAAAATAAATCTATCCGATTTTTTTTTCTTTTGCAAAGATCTCGGCCATGGCCCAGCGTTTAATAAGGCCGCCCCTGCTGAGCTGCTATGTTTCAAACAAAAGTTATTTTATGGCTGATCTCTGATACATGTTTTTTCTTTTATTTATAGGTGGAAGAGTGCCTAAAAAATGCATTGTTAAACCATAAAATAGTTTCGGCGGAGTGTGCACGTGAAGTGGTCCAAATAATAGAGGAAACACAAATAGATATAGAAGCGGATCCGTTGCTTGAAAGGGCATGTGCGTTAGATTTATTAAAATATTGCAAAGACCTTGAACATGGTGCTAGCAGAAGTAAGAAACTCATTGTGTAAACTGCTATAAAAATATTGTTTATCTTAAAATTATATTTGAATCCATATATTATTTCTAGGATTGAAATGTTTGAAAATCATACTGAATGACAGTAATCGAAAATTGGAAACAGAATGTCAAAAGGAACTCTCAAGCCGTTTAGAAATGTACAGATATGTTGCTTCTGTAAGTATCAAGACTTTTTAAAGACTTCTTCTTATAAGTAAGTAACTCTCAAACACACACTTATAAATAAAGGACACAGTTCATGAATGGTGCTAGTGAGTAAATTGTTTGACAAAATTTATTAAAACATCTAGCAGTTAAATGCTTAAAAATAAATAAAAACATAAAAATTTATTAATTTGTATTATCCCCGTCTTTTCAAATTGTACTTAATTATATATTTTAAATAAGTACATAGAAATTGATTAGTTAGCAAATGGTAAATTTATTTAATTACTGTTGTGCCCATACTAGTGATGTAACGAATATTCGCATATTTTTGAATATTTGCATTCACATTTACATTCGCATTCGCAAAATCTGCGAATGTTTTGCGAATATGAATATTAGAAAAAAACAATTTGAAGAAGTTGTAGTTCTGCCTTTCCTTGAATATTTATTGTTACACAGTTTGCATTTAGCTCGTTCAGCATCGCAAAGTGTGAAATAAGTCCATGTTTCACTAGAATTCGATTTACTCATGTTAATAAATCACTATTACCACTTACAATCAGTAACCTCAAAATTCACTTGTTTTGTTTACGGAAAGACCGGTGCGAGCGGAATGACACTTCAGTCGAGACTGCCACCATGCCATAGACAATTGGCGCCAATTGAAAAAAAAACTAAATATTCGCATTCGCGAATGTCGGCACCAGACATTCGCATCCGCCCGCATTCGCGAATTTTCTAAAAATGACATTCGTTACATCACTAGCCCATACCATCAATTATATTCTATTCAATATTACTTTATTAGATATCTTCAGGCACAAATTGGTATAATAATTTATGTGTGTGTCCGCCGAGGGGCCATGGAAAACCTACGTTTTCCCACTATGGCCCCTCGGAATACATGAAGATTCAGCTTAAAATCTATTGTCATAATACCGAGTGTATTATGACAGAGCAATAAATCCAGGTCACATAAAGATTCCTAAAAAAATCGCAAACTAAGAAGCTAGCTTTAATGAAATAAATTATGTTTAATAGACAATTAAATACTTCTTAAATGAAGATATTAAAACTTCTTAGTTATTGTAAAGTAATATCATAAAAAAATCAAATTTGAAAAAGGGAGACTTTCGAAGATGGAACTACCAAATTACTTTTGTTTTGCTTTTGTTTCTAATCTGTCATTTATCATTAATATAACTATGTCGATAGTCCTCAATATTAATTATTCAAGCTGTAATCATGTCGCTTGACCTGAAGAATGCACCAGAATTCTCACAATGCTGGAAACCGGCCAGAGTCAGCGCGATACAGCCAAGACTGTCGCTGTCAACAGTACAAAGACTTCTCCGACGTCACAGGGAAACTGGCTCTAACCTATGCAGACCAGGAACAGGCAAAACCTGGTGTACCACAGCACGATAAGATCGATACTTGGTGGTCACCAAGCTTCGTTATTTTTAGGATTCTTTATGTGACCCGGATTTATTGCTATCGAGTGTAGGTTGGCTGTTGACGGCAGCACAAAGAAAACGAGTTACACACCAACTCATCAAAAAGACATCGGTTCAAGTTGGCAGTCAAATAAATAAGAATTATATAAAATGAGTACAAGGTTTACTGGACAAAAAAAATTGTTGACCTTAAGTTGTAACTGTCATTGAACTTTCTTTAGATTTAGTGCATTTTTTTATCAAACTTCACAAATAATTTAGTTCATGGTGATTTTTTTTGTTCCAGGTAGATGTAATGGAAAACTTCAATGATGTATTTAATGGATTATCGGCATCTCCATCAAAAAAGTATTTTTTAGTTGTATGCATATCTTTTGTAGGCTTAATTTTCATATTTGGTTTGTACTGCGGTCGTATAACTAAGAGAGCTATGTATGTTAAAAGAAAATAGAACAATAAAATGCAATATAAGTATTTAAACATTTTTTTTAAGATTTTTATTTACTCCCATGTTTTGACACAAATAATACATAGATTTTTTCCATGTGAATACTAAATATTTATATACAAACAGGTCAATTACAGGAAGTAATATATGTATGCCCATGTTTACCATGCAATTTCAGCTGTTATTGTTTGTGTGTTTTACATGTAAATAAGATCTTTTTCAAAAATCTTCATCGAATTCCAGATCCTCTATTGTTTCTTTTTTTATGTTGCCTTTTTCTTTTTTGATTACTTTGATTTCTCCCTTCAAAAGTTTCTGACTTTCTTCAAAGTACTGATTCGGATGATTTATTCCCAAACCCAAATCAACATTGTTCACAGAATCAAAATATTTACTGCATGCTACTTGGAAATGTCCTTTTTTTGCTGTGTCCACTATATCGCTAATAGCTGAAAAAATATTTAAAATCAGAATCAAATACACCAATCTGCTGGAATGGTAAGCAAAGTATATTCAAACCATAAAAGTTATTTTATACATAGACATAATGTGTAAGGCACTTGGGTTGGACAAGATATACAGCCGTTAAAATACTTAATGACCTGAAAAATAGTGCCTATACCTGAATAATACAAATCAGCTCATCAGAGCTATGTACATGCCTAAACTTGAAAAATATTATTTTGAACAAAAGACTTGTTCAGTACTAGCTGTGGCCTGTGACTTTATTTACATTAATTTTAGTTTGTTGAAAATCCCACAGGAAACATTTTTCTAGGACAAAAGTATCCTATGTCTGAATCCAGGTCATTAGCTATATGCATATCAAATTTTATCTAAATCTGTTCAGTACTTTTTGTGTGATTGAGTAACAAACAAACACGCAATACAAACTTTCACATTTATATGATAAAGTAGGAAGAAGGATTATAGAACTGCCAATGCAGTAGCCTGGCGCTTAACACACTAGTTGTATTTAGTAGAGAAAAGCTTTCAAAAATGGGCTTTTCAACTTATCTGTTACGGAAAAAACCAACAACATTTGTAGTTAAGTGTTTGTTTCCTTGTTTTTGAATAACCTGGCAGAAAGCTATATCTTATAGTCTCATCTTAGAGACACTTAAGTTAGAACAGTCAAGAAGAACAGATACAGGGGGATTGTTTTTTGTATTATGTGATGAAAGTATAGAAGGAGGCATTTTTAATATTATTCATTTAGCAACAACAATAATAATGTCTATAGCCACAGAAAAAATACCTTGTGGGTCCATTCCATAGCCCTGTAATTTATTTTTCAAATTGCTGACATCACAGTGCCTATATGGACACCCATGACAGTCGCCAGGCCCTACAGTCTCATTTACAATTTTCAAGCAACTTAGTGGTGAATAGTTCCTCTTACTACCTTCTTTACCATAATTATATCTAATATAATATGAATATTGTTTTTCAAAGTTATCCAAATCCATTATTTTTGTAAATTCTTCCCTCCAGAACCTCAAAGAATCTTCCAAGGTTACACCTATGCCTTTCAAAAATAATCCATATTGGAGTCTACCTCCATGTTTTAAATGATGACTCAATCTTAACTGTTCATGAAGTTGCCTCATGCAAAGAGGATATGATTTCACAGACAGGGAATCTAGACTTTCAATTGGCACAACTGCCTTTGTGTCAGCATAATCTGCCCCTGTATATGATTGATGTAAACCTTTTAATAAGCAGACAAGACGCTCGTCCTGTTCTATCTCTCCCAAGTGATGACAAGCAACAGCTAAACTATGTCTTAAATGTTTTCGAAACTGAGCAGAGAGTACTGAGACAAAATCTTTGTGAGGGATATATGCATACCCGCCACTTAAAAACACTTTCCTAAATTTTACTAAATCAAGAACTTCATAAAATTTCACTTTGTAAAATTTCATATTTTCTATATTTTGATGTGCAGTGGACTCTCTCAAAAAACTAATAATTCCACTTTTTTCTTCGTCGCTTATGTTAGTGTAACTGAGATTATTAAGTCTAAAGAAGGCGTCGACAGCTTCACTGTTCATAGTCATGAATCGCATTTTGAAAAGCTCAAGTTCTCGAGCAACAAACCAACGACGAAGTTCTTCATTTCTACAATAAGCCAATCGAAGTATAAAATGAGCAATGTGGTCTTTTTTTCTTGCTTGCAAATCAGCATCCGTTCCATGCTTTGTATATTCACATAATTTGGCGTAATATTTTAGACCTTGATTACGAAGTTCATTTTGAACATATTCCTTCCATTCATCCGAAAACGCACGAAAACCTTTGAGAGTAGTAGCTGTTGCTAAGCTTCTTAATAACATAAGTCTTTCCAATGCTAAAGTTTCAAATTCTTGCAAAGATATTTCTTCGGTAGGCGGTAATTTATACATTTGAAGATCATGAGGATACGTCTCTACGAGGCTGCCTTTAATGACAGTTTTTGTGGATTTTCTTTTTATATTTAAATCCATAGCTACTGGCTACTGAAGCGATTATGATTTGACCAAATTTAACAAAAGTAAGGTAAAATGTAAGCACAAATTAATTTGTACACAACTCCGAATTCTGATTCGAGTCGGACAAATTGTAATTTTTTGGGCGCGAAATTTGTCAAACAGATTGACATTGTCATTTTGTTTTTTTTTTGCAAATTTCTTCTTTTATGGGAAAGCAAAGGTAGTAAGTCTATAGCCTTAACTGATGTTTTTTTAGTTCCATTCTTCCCTATTGGGAAAGGTAAAGGCAAAGCCATGCAGCCATTGTCTCATTTTTTTTAATTACTTCCTTTATTTTACATTAGAATGTCGGTGTGACGGATTCTAATGTATCTTGGAGTGTTTGGCACAAAATATATCGAGTCAGCTTTCTCGACAAGCTTCTGTGAGGTACGCAACACTACAATAAAGTTCTCACATCCACTTGCTCGATAAAGCGAATATTTTAAACATTCCGTTAATCCTTCAGTTGCGCAGACGATTGTAACACAAAATCACACCAATTTTATTTCACAATATCCACTATTTACGAATTAAACGAATAATTAAAATATGACGCCAACCGCACTTGATTAAATCCCGCCAAAAACTTCTGTTTTTGTTTTCATTTTATAACTAGTTTATGTAGATTAAGAATACGTCACTGTGTAGCAAATAAATAAATTTCCATGTCATCTTTATCGCCTTAAACTGAGCTGTTAACTCAATTTGTAAATATTGTAGATATCAAAACTGTGATCTTCAACATCTATTCTTTGATTGCAAGTATTTTAATACTCAACGACTTCTTTTTATATCTTCTTGTAACGATTTGATATATATAAATGATTTTCCTCAAAATGTTAAACATTTGTTAATATTTAGAGAACTATATAAGTAGTATTATTTATGATTTTTTCATTATTACGTTTGGTCCCTTGTGATTTTTAAGAATATGTTGAAAATTCTCTGTTTCTTTAAATTTTATTTTATATTCAGTTATTATTAGTAATTAGTGGATTATGTTAGATTTTTTTGTTTTATTTTTGTTAATTTCTGTTATTTTCACTAAGCAAGTTAAGTTTATGTTTAAGCTAATAGCCCTGGAGCCCAATGCTGTAAATAAATGAAAAAAATAGAAAATCAGAGTAGAACCCGATTTTTACATTGTTTAATATAAAGTAATATAGTATTAGGGTACGGCCAGAGTGCACTCAGATTCAGACTCAGATTCAGATTTCGAAAACAAGCGCGAGAAATAAACAGTGTAGTCTAAGCAAGTTGCCGGCTTTTTCTCGCGCTTTGTTTTCTGAGTCTGAATCTGAATCTGAATCAGGAGTGCACTCTGGCCGTACCCTTCGACTACACTGTTTATTTCTCGCGCTTGTTTTCGAAATCTGAATCTGAGTGCACTCTGGCCGCACCCTTAGGGTGCGGCCAGAGTGCACTCAGATTCAGAATCAGATTCAGATTCCGAAAACAAGCGCGAGAAATAAACAGTGTAGTCGAAGGGTACGGCCAGAGTGCACTCCTGTTTCAGATTCAGATTCAGACTCAGAAAACAAAGCGCGAGAAAAAGCAGGCAACCTGCTTAGACTACACTGTTTATTTCTCGCGCTTGTTTTCAGAATCTGAATCTGACTCTGAATCTGAGTGCACTCTGGCCGCACCCTTAGGGTGCGGCCAGAGTGCACTCAGATTCAGATTTCGAAAACAAGCGCGAGAAATCAATCTGGCCGTACCCTTCGACTACACTGTTTATTTCTCGCGCTTGTTTTCGAAATCTGAATCTGTAGGGTATATCGGAGTCTGTAGGGTACGGGTGCGGCCAGAGTGCACTCAGATTCAGATTCGGATTAAGAGAAATAAACAGTGTAGTTAAAGCATGGTGGCCATAGTGGCAGCAGGCAACCTGCTTAAACTACACTGTATAATTCTCGCGCTTGTTTTCTGAGTCTGAATCTGAGTGCACTCTGGCCGTACCCTTATTTAGCATTCTAAAGCCGACAACCCCGAAAATGACCTGAAATAGAGTTTATTACTGTTTGATGAAGAATTACTTCGGGTTGTTTGTCGAATCTACTGTACTGTACTGAGATATATTAGTCTATTATTTATCGCTTCGTTCGTACACAGAGTTGTTATGCAAAGAAATTAAATAATTGGATTTGGGGGCTTTTTCTTAAAATATCAAAAAAGGTATCGTGAATAGTACCAATATGTAGACAATTTCCTTATTTATAATAGACAGCAAAATTATCAAACTTTTGATACGGAATGGCGTTTGTTTTGGAATAGAAAGAAATATAAATATATAAGAAATAGCGTCGTTTAGTGGCACCACACCGCTAAAAAATTATAGGCAAGTGTTATCTTGAAATGCGGTGTTGGATATACCACACTCATCTGCAAACGTGGAAGGAATATAATCGTCAATCATTTCATTGAAAACTAAGCAGCGCAACAAACTCTCCACTGAATCAATTATTGGTCTTCTCCACACAAAAAGTTGTGTGGAAATAATAATCAACCTTGTTATAATTTGTTGTTTTATTTTGCCAAAAATCTCCCCATATCTGCCGATTAATACAAAGAAATTTACCCGATTTTTAAATTTTCACTTTTGCAACACTGACCCAGCCAAGTTTCATTTTGATAGAATCGTCTGAGTCTGAACACACATTTTTCACTACTAAAATGTATAAATAAAACTAATTACACTAATATACACTGTTAAAGTGTATTATGTAAAGTAAAACTATATCTGAACCTTTCTGTTTACGTGACTTACCAGTAAATGTATTGAAAATATTCATTTATAAAATGGTATCAAATAAAGTGCAATCGTCATTAGACGATTTAGTTCATTATACACAACTTTTTAGACCGGTGCCCACTGTTTTACAAGGGACTGTGTTGCCTTTCTTAATAGTTTATCCCTTAGTGTTTTATTCTTGGATTGCGGTTTATGGGTTCGAGGAGAATTTCGAAGCAGGATTCGTGACTGTTGCTGTAGTGGCAACGATTCAAATTCTTATATGTTTGTGTTGTTACTGGAGTGTGCACATCCAGTGCTTCCTCTCCTGCTCTGCGGTAAGATAATTCCATTGATGAATTTACTATTTCTGCATTCAAATCACATTAAGAGGGATTTATAAAATGACATACTAATCAAACTTTAAAGTAGGTATATTTGTTATGATCACTTTGTTTCAACATTTGCTTTATTTCAGGTAAAGGATCCGATTCAGGCTGAGATTGTTAAAGTTGTTCCCACATCAAATAATGGATTTTCAGAAATAGTTAAACTGCATCATACTAAGGTATAAAATTAAAGTTAAGATTCTCTGTTTCACTTACTATCTTGGTTAAATATTCACAGTATTATTTTTGTTTTAGTCAACCAAAAAGGGCAGCATATATCCTGATGTTTGGTTTTCTTTTCAAAAGAGCAAATATGTTTATGATTGGGATAAAAAAACATTTTCTACTGTGGAATTCCCTGTTCATCATACCTATGAGGAATATATGGAAACAAAAGGTTTCCTAGATGATGAAACAATTGTAACGGCTGAAAAAGAATATGGAAAAAATGAAATGATAATGGTATTACATGGCATTATGTATATATTTGTAATATTCGTTAAGAGAGTTTATTGTAAATAATAGAAATAAGTAAAAATTAAAAGTCACATCATTTGTTGTCATTATGTCTGTATATTATAATTTAGGTTCAATTCTTTAAATTGTATGTAATAAAGGATTTTATTAAGACTTCCTTTACCTTTACAGGTCGTGCCAGAATTTATGGAACTTTTCAAAGAGAGGGCTACTGCACCATTTTTTGTTTTTCAAGTATTTTGTGTAGCTCTGTGGTGCCTTGACAAATACTGGTATTACTCTATTTTCACACTTGTGATGCTTGTTATGTTTGAATGCACTTTAGTTCAGCAGCAACTGCGAAATATGGCTGAAATTAGGAAAATGGGTAACAAGCCTTATAACATCAATGTCTATAGAAATAGAAGATGGCGTCAGATTATGAGTGACCAATTAGTTCCTGGTGATGTGGTATCCCTCACAAGATCTACTAATGAAAATCTAGTACCATGTGATATAGTGCTCTTGAGAGGTTCATGCATAGTTGATGAGTCCATGTTAACTGGTGAGAGTGTCCCACAAATGAAAGAGCCTGTTGAAAATGAAAAGAATCTAAAACAGAATCTTGATCCTGAAGGAGACGGTAAATTACACATGTTATTTGGAGGTACAAAAATTGTACAGCATTCATCACCTAGCAAAAATGGCTCTTCGGCTCTTAAGGCCCCTGATAATGGTTGTATTGGTTATGTGATCCGTAATGGATTCAATACTTCCCAAGGAAAATTACTTAGAACAATTTTGTTTGGTGTTAAAAGGGTTACAGCTAATAATCTTGAGACATTTGGTTTCATATTATTCCTGTTGATATTTGCAATTGCAGCAGCTGCCTATGTTTGGATTAAGGGCTGTGAAGACCCTGAGAGAAATAGATATAAGCTATTTTTGGAATGCACCTTAATATTGACCTCTGTAGTGCCTCCTGAATTGCCTATTGAATTATCATTAGCAGTTAACACATCACTGTTGTCATTATCAAAGTTAGCTGTATTTTGTACAGAACCTTTTAGAATACCTTTTGCTGGAAAAGTAGAAATATGTTGTTTTGATAAAACTGGCACCCTTACTAGTGATAATTTAGTAGTAGAGGGTGTGGCTGGTATTGGTGACAACAAAGATGCCACTGTTATACCTCTATCAGAAGCTCCCATGGAAACTATCCAAGTTTTGGCATCATGCCACTCTTTAGTTCAGTTGGATGATGGTGTAGTGGGAGATCCTTTAGAAAAAGCTACATTAAAAGCAGCTGAGTGGAATCTTACCAAGGGTGACGCAGTAGTCCCAAAGAAAGGAAAATCCCCTGGATTAAAAATAGTTCATAGAAATCATTTTTCAAGTGCTCTTAAGAGGATGTCCATAATAGCTGGTTATCAAGTGAATGAAAGAGGATTTATGGAGAACCATTATATTAGTAGTGTGAAAGGAGCACCTGAAACAATCAAAACTATGCTTAAAGAAGTTCCTAGTCATTATGACCATGTTTATTTAACTTTATCCAGAAGAGGTGCAAGGGTTTTGGCATTGGGTTACAGGAATTTAGGAAAATTAAGTTCACAGGAAATTAGAGACTTGACAAGAGAAGATATAGAGTCTGATTTAACTTTTGTTGGGTTTGTTATTATATCATGTCCCTTGAAGAGTGATTCTAAGAAAGCTATAGCTGAAATAGTACATGCCTCACATTCCGTTGTTATGATTACTGGTGACAATCCTCTGACTGCATGCCATGTGGCTAAAGAATTGAAATTCACACAGAAGAGTGAAGTGCTTATATTAACACAGACTGATAATAAATGGAGTTGGAAGTCAATAGATGAAGAAGTAGATTTACCAGTGCAACCTTTTAAAACATCAAAACAGTTGACTTCGAAATTTGATCTGTGTATAACTGGCGAAGGTCTGGCATTTCTTAATGAACATCATCACACATTTTTGCTTGAATTAATGCCTCATATTAAGGTATTTGCTAGATTCGCTCCTAAGCAAAAGGAGTTTGTCATAATCACATTGAAGGCTTTGGGTCATGTCACCCTTATGTGCGGAGATGGTACCAACGATGTCGGCGCTTTGAAACATGCTGATGTAAGTCTAAATGTAACACAACTGAATTGTTAAATTATATCTTAAATCACCAGCTTCTGCTTGGTCTGTGTTAACTTTCGTAGTTTTAAGAATCGGAAGAAAGTATCCTATCTCGCAATCCAGTTAAAAATTATATATGTGCCAAATTTCATCCAAATCCAATCAGCCGTTTTTGCGTGATTGAGTAACAAACATACAATATTAGTAGGATTTAAGATCAAAGTATAATTAAAGAGTTATAATTTTTGTTATTTTTAAAGCATGTAACTGCTTGATGTTTAAATCTAATGAAAATATAACTAGAAAAAAGGGTGCGGGTTCGAGTCCCGTCTGCTGCCTGGTCCGCGTGGAATTTTTTCTAGTTATATTTTCATTAGATATAATTAAAGAGGTTTGAAAATTAATAATAAGTATTATTTAGGGAATATAGACACTCCGTAACCAAGTAGTATTGATATTTGTTAAGTTTTTATTGTTACCACATACTCTGATAATATGAAACTTTATTACACTGCATTTGAAAGCCTGCTGTACATAAGAATCTATTGAAATTATTGTACATTATACACCCCACGGAACTTCTTGAGCAATGACCTGCGCAGAAGCAATTTTACATAAAAACCTTCTACTTAGCAAGTTTATTTGTATGTGGTTTTGCTCGAGAAGTTTGCCACTACGTATACATGTACGCGGACAGTGTCAGTGTGCGTGTAAGGCAGAAAAAGATTATCAAGATTAGTCGATTGTACTCGTAGGTGGGTGTAGCGATCTTGGCGAATGCTCCAGAGCGGCCTCGCGAGAAGCCTCGAGAGGAGCGGCCATTAGACGTAGAAGTTCCGCGTCGTCCGACCGGCAGCCGCGTGGACGCTCGCGCCGAGGCTCGCGCCGAAGCCGCTGCCAGACTGCGCCGCGCCATGAAGAAACTTGAGGAGGAAGACCAGCCCCAACTTGTCCGCTTGGGCGACGCGAGTGTTGCTGCGCCCTTCACCAGTCGCCTCTCCAGCATACTTTGCAGTGAGTTGGCGGTTTTGGCAGGATTAGCTTAGTCCGGTTACGTATCTTAGCAACCTTGGACGTGCATGTGCCCCGTGGTAGCTCGCGCCGAAGCCGCCGCGTGACTGCGCCGCGTTATAAAGAAACTCGACAAGGAAGACCATCCCAACTGGTCCGATTAGGCGACGCGAGCGTTGCTGCGTTTTTCACCAGTCGCCTCTCCAGCATACTTTGCAGTGAGTTGTTGTTTTAGGACGAGTTCTTGTTATAAGACCAGCTTAGTCTGGTTAGGTATCTTGGCAACCTTGGATGTGCAAGTGCCGCCGCGAGACTGCGCCGCGCCATGAAGAAGCTTGAGGAGGAAGGTCAGCCCCAACTAGTCCGCTTGGGCGATGCGAGTGTTGCTGCGCCCTTCACCAGTCGCCTCTCCAGCATACTTTGCAGTGAGTTGGTGGTTATACTACCAGTGGCAATAATCGTTTTTTTGTTTAATGCCGGCACCTGACTTGGCTATTCGTGTTTGCTATTTATCACTTGTCATCAGTCAGTCTGTCCCTTTGATTCCTTATAAAGCATGACCATTACAATACCGCAACCCTAATTGTCCGTGTTGAATTTTCTCTAGCATTTCTTAGGCTGCAAGCGCCATCTCTTCGCATTGAGATAACCCACAATGTCAAATGATTATAATAATAATAATGTTTATTCATCAAACCTTACAAGTACTACAACAATAACATATCTTAAAATAAACTAGGAAAGGTTTGCTAACTTGTGAGTAGGACCCCTGACTTTCATGCTAGGTAAGACCTGTATTATGATTCGACCTGTTCGATTCGAGACACCGGATGATTACAAAACGTTATTGATTAGTTTGTGTGTGTATGTATGCCTGTGATTATCTTTACAGGTATAAAACATTTTAATGGATAAATACCAATTATAGTTATTTTTTTAAGCATTTAACTACTAGAATACTTGTAATGGTATTCATTTGGTATTGTGGTTTACCTACAATGCGAAGAGATAGCTCTGCCTTGCAGCCTGAGTAATGCTAGAGAAAATTCGATACGGACAATTAGGGCCGCGGTAATATAATGGTGATTGTATCCGCCCGGATAGCAGAGAGTGCGGGTGCGAGTCCTGTCTGCTGCTTGGTTCGCGTGGAATTTTTTCTAGTAACAATTTTCTTTAGATTTTAACATTTGTAAAGGTATTAGTAGGTGTCTAGCAGTTAAATGCTCAGAAAATATAAATATAACTAAGCTATTGTTAGTTTGAATTAATTAATAAAATATACTCCTACAACACACACAGTCAACTCCTAGATGAGAAATTGCAAAAATTAAGTTGTTTAATGCCCTAAAATGAAAATACCTGTATTATTAAAAAAGTAAATTCGCTAAATAACTTAACTAATACCAAAACATTGCCAAGCGACGCCAGCACTTACTTAGCCGATTTAGTCAATTTGTTATCGCTGCATCAAAATGATTGACGACCTCCGTGGTTGAGTGTTTTGTACGTCGGGTTTCATGGTGTCGCCGACTTGAGAGGTTCCGGGTTCGAATCCCGGTAGGGGCAGATGTTTGTGTGATGAATACGAGCATTTGTACTCTAGTCATGCATGTTTAATATGTATTTCTATATAAATATACTTAGATATGTACTGTATATGTATTCTATCCGTTACCCTAGTATCCCCCATAACACAAGCCTTACAGTGCTTACTTTGGGGCTAGGCTAATTGGTGAGAATGTTGGCAATATTTATTAATTATTTATTTAATGGTACTTTTTTGTCTTCGAACAGTTTGTCACATAATCAAACAAGGCCGCTGCACTCTGGTCACAACTCTTCAAATGTTCAAGATCTTGGCCCTGAACGCGCTAATCTTGGCGTACAGTCAGTCGGTGCTGTACCTCGATGGCATCAAATTCAGCGACACGCAGGCCACGTTGCAAAGCCTGCTGCTGGCCTCGTGTTTCCTCTTCATCTCCAGGTCGAAGGTAAAAAATAATCTTAAACATAACAAGTGGAAATGGCCTTTTGGCCAGTCTTTCTAAGTTTGACTCCCACTGATTATACACTTCCACATTAGGTATTATGGTTATAGTATGGCTCCATCGTTATGCACAATGATTCTGCCAGTGTCGACAGTTAAAAATACAGTTATTTTTTGGTCATTCTTTCCTTTGGGTGGTAAGTTAGCCAAATTTTTGGCTGGAGCTTGAAAATTTCAAGATTATTACATAAAATTGCATTACTACAGTAGAACCCGTTTAATACGATCACGCTTAATGCGATTTCTTGCATAATACGCAATTTTGCGTCAGTCCCTTACGTCCCTACGATTCGTTATCCCGTTTAATACGCCTAAATCACCAACACGTACCACACCCACACATATTACCTCTTGCCGCAGCGGCCAGCGATTGACGTGACGATTGTCGAGCGACGCACGCTAAGCGACCGCCAGGGTTAGTTAAATAGTACATTTAATACCTCAATACCTACATTTGAAATTTTTCTATCCCGCAATCCCGCTTAATACGCTTTCCCTTTTAAGACGCGTTTTTGGTTGAGTCCCTGTGAAATCGTCTTAAACGGGTTTTACTGTACTTTATTTGTTTTTCTTTATACCAACTAACAGATGTCCTGATTGGGTAATAGGAATAAATATTGGATGATTCAAAAGAGCTTTACATAAGTCAATCTGAAAAGTATATATTGTTTTAAACTTTCATGGTCACTAACATTATAGCTATTAACGGGATTGTTACCATGTGTCTCCGATATTTCGGCACTGTTGCAAGCGCCATGATCACGGATCAGTTACTCCGTGATCATGGCGCTTGCAACAGTGCCGAAATATCGGAGACTCATAAAAAACAAGGTACATGGTAACAATCCCGTTAATAGCTATAATGAAAAAGTGTAATTTCATTCCGTTTGCAGCCATTGAAGCAGCTGTCGAAGCAGCGCCCCCTACCGAACATCTTTAATCTGTACACGATCATGACGGTGCTCACGCAGTTTGCTGTGCACTTCTTGTGTCTCATCTATTTGGTGCACGAAGCAACCGCGAGGTCGCCTGGAAGGTCAGATTGCGGATTTTTTATTTGAACTTTATGTTATGTGTACTAAGAGCTATGTTAATAATTTTCATGAGTGTTAGCTGCTAATTTAAACTTTAATGTCCCGGTTCTTACTTCAGGTATAATTGTCTCTATTTTCATTGGGTAACATAATACATATTTGTGTTTTGGTAATATGAGCGAATTCATGCCCTGACGCTAGTTTGGGGTCGAGCGTTACTTATTTGCTTAACATAGGTTTGTATGTTACCTGACAGATTTATTTTTTATTTCCTGCAAAGCAATGAAAATCTGTTTAAACTAACAATAAGAGCTGCTTTAGTTATGATAAATATAATATCTGTATTGATTTTAATCGGAGTGAGTCTTTCCAATTTGCTGGGAGATTTTTCCCGTGGCAGAATATAAATCTGAGATCAGAGGGACAGTTTGTCTTTTCAATTTTTTGTGCTGTAGTTATCCACATACATCCACCTAGTTTACAGTATTCTTATGTCTAGATAGCTTTCTTGATATTTAATACTGGTATTAGTAATCTACTTTTATGTACGATTCTCACTTACCGGCGCGCGTCAGAGCGCAGCGCAGCGCATTTTTTAATTTGCAGATGGTAATTAAAACTTCCACAAAGTAGTTAAGTTCCTTGTTTGCATGCAATTCAAACAGCTATGAAGCCCGCCGATGCCTGCTAATAAGGAACTTAATTACTTTATGGAAGCTGCGCTCTGACGCGCGTCGGTAAGTAAGAATTGTACATTACGGTGTTTTATTTAAAATCATTATAAATGGCCTAATAACTTAATGGAAAGAGCGGGAAATTTAAGCAAGTTTTCAAATAAGCTGGAATTACTTACGTTATTCCCTTCGTGTTCACAGGGACACAAAACCTAAACTCGACATGGATTTGGCTGAAGACGAGGAGCATGAGTTTGCGCCTGATCTGCTCAACAGCACTGTCTACATAATCTCTATGGCTTTGCAAATATCCACGTTTGCAATTAACTACAGGGTAAATATAAGTTATTTAATACCTAGATACAATATTAGGAACAAAATCGTGGTCACAACCTGTCCACAAGATAATTGCACGATCCACGGAGCTTCGTATAATGATCGCGGAGTCAAAAACAATACAATGCATTATTTAAACGTTCAAACTCACCATTAATGCATAGTACTCGTATATAATCTTAATTTAAACGCACACGTCAGAGTTATGGCAGTACGAAATGCAAGCTCGTAAAATGTAACGACTTGTTCTCGCGGAAGAATGTAGACTTTATTTCTATAACTATAGAGTCATCCGCTTCTTTTCAACAGCGCATTCAGAATGACTATATAATAGTAATTTTGAATGCGCCGTTGAATAGAAACGGCTATATAACCGACCATGCATTTGAATATCACAAATATTTTCTATGATATCAGTTAATAGTAAATATTAGAACAAAATTTGCTTTGAATGCGTTAAATTAACAAAAAACGTGTGGATTTTTTTCTAGACAATTTTATAAAAAAAAATATTTAAGCATCTAACAGTTCAATGCTTAAAAAATAAAATTATTACTACAATTGCTATTTACTCTTTCAAATGTTTAATACTTGTAACGCGTGACTGAACCAAGACTGTTCTTGTGTGGCGTCAAGCATTTCTTGATTGGGAAACATTTTGAGCGTACGTGGTGTATGATTTTTAATATCGTTGGGATAAATTTTTTTGAAGTGAAAATTCTTTAGTATCGTTGTGGTATTTAGTAATAGTTATTTATTATACAAGAGTGGAAAGTTCCTTTTTAACCGCGTGCTCGATTTGGATGACCGAGCAAGCGAAGGATTCTAAAGTTGAATCACGAGCGCAGCGAGTGATTCTAAATTAGAATCCTGAGCGTCAGCGAGGGAAACAAACGAGCACAAGGTGAAAAATCTTTCCACTCGAGTGCAATACGTAACTTTTCATCCCACCTCAGCGAGGAAATGACAAAATGAAAAAGAAAACAATTTATAATGACAAAATATTTTTATTTCAATTAAAACACATTAAGATAATCTATAAATTGAAGAAAATAATAAGAAGTAGAAAATAATTAAGAAATATTAAATGTAACGTTGCTACAGTTACTTATGTTAAGTTTAATATTTTTGTTAGGTAATGTTATGTTGGTGTTTGTGAATAGGCTAGTTGACCCTTTTTGGAAAAAGGTTTTAAATGGTTAATAAATGTTCTATTAGACCGAAAAAAAATGTTTTGTATTTTTTTGAGACCTAGAAAGCTACAAATCTTTAATTTTAAAATAGAATTTTCATGGACATACAAAAACGCTGTCGGCCATTTTAGTCTATAAATTGTCTATGCTATGATGTCAACAGTAGTAAACAAAAACCCGTAAGCACGTAGAAAATAACTTACCTATCCGAGTTTATAATAAAAAGAACATGATTTCTAATAAATATCACGAAAAATAAAGTAATCATCATTATTGTATTGTACGAGAATATAAAACCACATCCTTGAAGACTCCAGGAATGTTGTGGATTAAAGTGCCGAAAGAAATTAACCTACGCAACTTTATTACACTTATTCATATGTTGTATCAGTTTTATGTTTATTACTACATTGTAATACTAAATGCACTGTACTTACATAGATGCCTTGTCGTTTCTCTGCTCCGCAGAGCAGAAATCGGGGTTTAGTGCAAAAAATTCAGATTTGTGCTTTCTGCTTTTACAAAGCAGGCATCCATAATTAGTTTTGTCAAAAAAAAACAGTAAACGGAAACTTTTCTAAAGATAAAAGTGTTTTAAGATAAATTTATTCAGACTAAAGAATCCACCCACAATAACACGCGAATGACATTTAGTTGTTTACTGAAAGAGACGTCAAAATCATGGCGGATGTGGCGAACAGCGTTTTTAGTGTTTAAAAAATATAGACTAAAAAAAATTTTTTAAAATTAAATTTCTACAGCAATCTTCTGCTTTTATGAAGTAAAATCGATATATTTAGGTTCCTTAGACCAAATACTGTAAGAAATAAACATTTATTTAGTACAATTCGACATGAGTCAACTAGCCTATTGTGCGCTGTTTTGTGGTAAACTACTCGTATCAGTAATTTTAAATAGTTGTGCCGATTCATTGGATTCTATTGGCGTAAATGTTGGCGAGAGAGGGCTATTGTTTCCAATCTTATGGGGGCTCATTTTGGATGTAGAAGGGCGAGACCAAGAATCTGACAGAGGTTCTTTCAGCGTTATGGCCTCCACGATACTATTACAAATTTTTGATTTACTTTGGATTGAATCCTCTATGTATCCCTCTACAACCGAATTAGACTTCCAGCCTCCATGGCGCTTAAGCGATAGCAGATCAGCCCCTGATTCGGCCAAAAGTGTGGCTGAGGTTCTTCTAAAACAGTGACCGGTGTATAACGGGGGTTCTAAAAGTCCGAGAAAAGTTGCTATTTCTCGTGGAATACTGCCAATTTTATTCTGACCCATAGGTTGTCGGATACACTTTCCGTTGCGATATTGTAGAAAAAATCGTTCAATTGGGGTGTTAGAAGGACGTAAAGCTTGATATTTCTGAACAATGTTTACATATTCCTTGCGAATAACGAAGTTGCGGTCTTTTTTTGTCTTGGTATTTAGTACATTAATTAATAGCAATTCATCAGAATTATGAGAATATTTTGATACGTTATTGACATTAAGTAGTGTAAGTTCATTTGTTCGACATGCTCCGGTTATACCAATAATAAGAACAACCTGTAACAAAAGAAGTATTTATAATCGTAAATAAATTAATCAAATTAAAAATATTGTAAGTACTATGTACAATTTTATCAACAACAAAAAATTACACGTATTGACTTACTTTTGCCGCTAAATATACGGAATCAGGTGCTTCATTAATAAACTTTGCAATTTCAGATGCTGTGAAAACCTTCGATTTTTTTGGTTTATAACCAGATGAGGCTCTTTTTAAAAATGCCACTAATTTATGATAGGTGTCGATATGAACGTCTTTCTTCATCTTAATTGTTAATTTTAGCATTGAATACGTACTCCATAGCGTGCTTGCTTTCTTGGTCTCAGATAATTCTATAAAATATGCCAGCAAAACGTTTTCGGAGAAAGTTTTTGCTCCTTTAGCTAGTCGCCACATGTTAAATATATCGTACTGTTTCAAATACTTCTCTCGTGATTGCTGAGGGAGAAGGCTCATTTGCGCATTATTAACTGTTTCAGTTAACTCAGTTGGCGTTAGATAAACTTCATCGTCGCTAATGTCACTCATTTTAGTTGATTTTTTTGTACAGTTTTTAGGTTATGTTAATTATATTAAGCAATAAAACGTGAAAAACTAGAATGGCGCGAAGCACGCAAATAAAACAAAGAAACCAAGAAGGTTCCAAATTTAAATTTTTTCACAATTTAAAAAGTTCTAATCATAAATTTGGCACCATAGAGGTTACATTAAATAGGTTTAATGACGTTTTGAATTTACAATTATATTGAGTACTCATTATATGTGATGTTCTAAATTCAAATCTACTTTGCCGCTCAAGCGAATAAAATAGAATTTTCCAGCCAGATTTCGAAGCGCAAAATTACACTTTCCGAGGTGGTGGGATGAAAACATTTTAACGTTTGCAATTTTTACAGATTTTTTTAAATAAATATTTCGTCAAAAATATAACAAAAAAAAATTGCTGGTAACTAATAAAACTTACTTTTCACATTTTTGTAGGTTTTTATTTGTAACCGTGGAGAAAAATACCACGGTTTCTTACCGTGGATAAGAAACCGTGGCCTACTACAGAATGTATTAGATTTTGAGATTTTGAGGTTATAATGCCTAATAAGAGTTTATGAATGATTCCGAACATAATTAGCATTTTCTCATTGCTGTGCGTTCTAGGGCATTCAGTGTATAGGGAACGTGCAATATCCTTTGTTCGTTCATCTTTTATTATTATATAATTATTATTAATTATAACCTCAAAGTATAAACTTAATCGTAAAAGATGTACAATTTATATATTATTGTAACCTCAAAATCTAATACATTCTGTAGTAGGCCACGGTTTATCAAGTTGTCCGTATTTCAACAAATATCTAATAAGAGTTTATGAATGAATCCGAACACAACTAGCATTTTCTCATTGCTGTGCGTTCTAGGGCGTTCAATGTATAGGGAACGTGCAATGTCCTTTGTTCGTTAATCCTTAGCATATCGCATTAGATTTTTAATAATTTTTATAATTGACCTTACCAACAAGGATCGGTGCCTCAGTGGTTGAAAGTTCGCCTGCTACGCGGGCGACCCGGGTTTGATTCCCAGTAGAGATATAATTTTCACTTGCACTAATTTTCGTCTGTGGAAAGGCGTGACGCCTTCCTTGCCACCAGGGCTTGCAATGAGGATATGCGAGACTTTTTCCCACTCCTCTCACCTAGCTTAGAGGCTTGATGAAATGACCACCGAATAGTAAAAGAAATTATAAAAACTAAAAAAATCTAAATACTAGAAGAAATTCGACACGGCTACTAAGGTTGTATAACCTTTTTAGAAAAAATGCTTTTTGATAATCGACCTAATAGACGGAGAAAAAAAAGTTAGTCATCATCCCTATTATACAATATCTCCGTCGATTAGGTCGATTATCAAAAAGCATTTTTTCTATATTCACATAATCAAAAACATTACAGAGATATATTGATTTTAAATGTCACATGACGTCACGCCTTGGTACTAATTTTTACTTAGGAGTGCCGTCGCCAGCCTCCTCCAAATTTTGACGCGCTTTATCTTTGTAATATCTTTTGGTTGATTGACAAAAAGAAAAATAACTATACCTTATTTTTTGATAATGTCATCAGCTCTATTATATATCTTTTTATCATCTCTAATGTTTGCAACATATAACTTATATGTATATATTATTATTTATGTCTTATATATTATGTTAAGAGAATAAGTATTGTTACTTTTTTATTTTATATTTTGCTGGCACATTACTTCTCTACCTCTGTTTTACTATCATTTGACTTAAAGGTTGTCTGAAAGAGATCGCGTTTAGCAATAAGTTTTGTAAGCCCCTTTATAGTTCGACAAGAATCTTTATGAATCTGGCAAAAATTGGCTCTAACGCCATCTTTGTTAACGTCACATTTAGTATGTCATTTACGTAGACTGTGGCGCCCTCCCTGAACTGTTGTTGGAAGGCTAAAGGGGAAGATCTTCCTCCGTGCTGGATGATGGTAGCTCGGGGGCCGCGGTCCGACTGATGTTAGTTGGGCACTGTATATATGGAGTATTAGCCTCCGAATTTCACTTGCGCGATGTAGGCTTCTATACTTTTGCAATCGCAGCGCAGGTAGCGCCATCTCTCGAGGAGGCGAGTGATTATTTCCTCCATGTTAGTTATATGTGGGTCATATAGATGACGCCGCCACGCTGTCACAGACATTTATGAAGATCCTTGTCGCAATCTATTGTGTTTGTGTTTGTGTGTGTGTGTGTGTGTAATAAAGAGTATATCTATTTTTCCTTTTAACCACCAGGGTGAGCCGTTCATGGAGGGCTTGCGGGATAACAAGCCGCTGCTATACAGCATCGTGGCTTCAGGCGGCGCGGTGCTGGCACTCGCCGCGGGAATATTCCCCGATCTCTCCAATATGTTCGAAATCGTCTACTTCCCACCGGACGTGAGTTAAATACATATGTTAGCTACTTTCGCTGTTTGCATCGCAGAGGCGACGGATTTTTGGTCATGTCATCACAGATTAGTCTGTCAAATTGCTATTAACGAACGGTCTGATCGACCAGCCGGCCTATTCAACCAGCCGGTCGAAGCATGGAGAAGTATGGAGGTGCTCGAGATGAAAAAGGACATTGGGCAAAAATGTATGGAAGCTGCACCCACGTCCGCCACGGCTTAAACTACATTTATTTGAAAGGTATTATACTCATGATCATCTGTGCCAAAGCGCATCAAATTCCACCCCGGGGGTCTTTAGTTATTTTAAATTAAATAGGTACAAGTACTGTAATGAGCGAACATTAATGAAACAAGGGAATTTAGTCAGTTTGTTCGACCCTACATAGGGGTCAGGTATTATGGGAGTACTTCACAAGGTGCAAGGGTGCCTCCTTATTTTATTCTTTCGCACTACAGTAAATCCAAAAATCCCCGCATGGGTTGGGGTTTTTTCAAACAATCTGTTCGTTATAGTAAATTGTCTTCTATGTAAAAAGGAGCGACCACAAATCACACAAACTTGTCCACGCTTCGAGAAAACATGGTTCCTGTTGATCAATATTAATTGACAAAACCGATAATCGTATTCCAATGTCCAAAGCGTGTTAGATAAAAATCAATCAAGTGACAGGGAGCGCGAACGAAGGAACGATAAGGCATATTATTATGGTTACTAATAATATAAAATGAAGATACTATAAAATGAATTTATTTAGCTACTATATGCCCATGTGTCATATGTTTTGACTAAAAGGATATTTTGTTACGGTGTCATTATCAGAAAGGCTAGTTTTTCACAGATCTGTCGATTCATAATAACATTATTGGCAGAGCTGGGTGTGTTTTGCCCATTGTCCTTTTTTTTGGTCACCCGTCCTATGACGGGCCTTAGCAAAAAATGCTAAACTTCCAGGATTGCAGACCGAAAGCGTAACGGCGCTGTCTATATATCAGTAATCGGATAATATCGTTGGCTGTATGGATCAATTATGTCTTTTGAAGTTTAAAATAATATAAAATGGTAAATAGATAAGTAAATAGCGCCAATGATTAAAAAAAATGTACCCCTTCAATTTCTGTCTGGTGTCTTAGACAAGTTGAAATATTTTATCATGAATTTCTTTAGAAACCCTTTAAAACTTTTGCAGTATATTGCATAAACGTGGTTTAGTTTTACTACTCGCTAATATGGTGCGGCCAAAGAAAAAAAAATCCGGCGGGTCGTGTCTGTTCCTTATGGCAATAGATTAGAGTACACTTACGATCTAGTAAAAAAAGATGTCCGAAAATAAAGGACATGGCTAAGAAACTGCCCTTAATGTGTATAAATATTTCGCACTAGCCCGTAACTTTACAATATTTTTTTATTAATTATTACGTGTTAAAAAATATTTGTGTAAGTATATCGAAATAAACAATATTATTTCTAAACTCCTTCAAACTATGACATATTTGGCCCTAATTTTTATTATAATAAATCACCGAAGGCCTAAAATAAAAGATTTTATTATTCTGATCAGGAGACAAGGCTGTACGACAATGAATCCTTGAATTTTTGCAAATGGACAAAATAAAACTTCATAGATTTCCTGTCAGGCTGACGATAACAAATTATTTGTATTTATTTGTGAAGTTTGTGAAGAGTTAATCAGAAAAATGGGAAGAAAGCTTCTACGAAAATGCGAAATAAAAAAATCTCTATAAATAAATGGCAACAGCTTTTATCAACTGTAGTAAGGTAATGACATAGTAGCAGTTTTCATAATTTTCAAGATTGTGACTTTATCAAAAGTTCCCGAGCCTTTTTTCATAGAAATTATAAATATTCAGCCATTTACCATTAAACATTACTAAGTACAGTATTTATACATTGCCAGGGCAGTCGCTCATACAAAACTTTACCATGTCCTTTGTTGATAGGCAATGATCTGAAGCCCAAGCACGAATTCTGACAACTCCGTAATCGTATCGTTAACGTCAAATTTTGTAATAAAAAAAGTTAGTTTGTTCTTGCGTCCGCTAGGGGTGCTGCTTAATTTAAATAGAAACTTTGACGATGCGATACGATTACGAAGCTGTCAAAATTCTTGCTTGGGCCTCTGAGTGGATTCACTTAATTTCTTAAAGCAGCATTTCTTTGTATTTTTTTTCTTGTTCAATAATACTAAGTATTTGTTTTTGTTACAGTACCGAGTGATATTAGTGCAAGTGCTGATAGCTGACATGGTATTCGCGTACTTGGCCGATCGCGTTTGTCTATGGCTCTTCGGCGAAGGATTCGCGCGCAAAGCGACGTAACACATCATTCCAACAGAATATACTTATAATAGATTGTATTATGTAAATATTTAAATGAAATTTTGGTATGTCAGTTGAGACTGCTCAAATATAAACGTGCATTTAAGTATTGATGTGTCAACTGTGTTTATGTAATAAATGTGTAGTTATTTATGATGTGGTATTTTTTAATTTTAGCCACTTGATATATTGACCTGCCTACCTGCCTTTCTGGCAGTTTTCTCTGTTATGTTATATTAGGTATTTTTTTGTCAATTGTATCAGAATTTGACAGCCATCAGTGATAAAAAGTTGTTTTTTAGATTATGAACGTTTGTAAGTAGTAGATATGAATTCAAGTGCCTAAACAGTTAATTCTCACAGCAACAAAGTAAAATAAAAGAATCGTCCAAAATTATTTATTCGATTTTTATTGATTGCTACACAGCGTATTGCACTAATCATACTTTCGCAACGACAAACGGCGACCGCGTAAAAGTACCATACGTGAAAATCCGTCGTGTTCCAATCTCGGCAGGTAGGGGGTGATGCGGAAGTCTGGGAGTTAGTGTCCGGCCCACGCGCCGAGGCCTTGGCCCCAGCCGAGGCCTCCGAGGCCTACGCCCCACGCTCCAAGGCCTGTGTTCCAACCGCCGGTATATCCGTGGCCTCCCCAATCGCCGACACCGACTAAACTAGCCGGTGCAATTATAGGCGCAACGGTTTTGACAATAGGGGTAATTATTTGAGGATGAACAGCGGCGCCGACTCGTTTGACGACGGCGTTAAACCCGCTGTGAGGGCCGGCGGTATAGTCGACAACTCTGATCGTGCCGTCGGGCTCGGCTAGAGAATAGGAGCCTTTCACGTAGTCGCCGCTGCGTTGCTCGCTCTGCGCCTTGTTGTCGCCCGTGTGTGGGTCGTTGACAGCGTAGTTGAAACTGTAGTTGGGGACGGCCTGAAAACATAACACGGTTTGGCGTATCGTTGGTAGCGCCCGCGTCGTGTGATTGGCTTCATGCTGTCCCATATAAGACTGACGACCGGACGTTTTGATGCCGGGCTTAGCTCCCGGGAATAATGGTCTCGTGGGCATGAACCCTTAGAAGTGACCAATTGATATTAAGCTATGCTTTTCTGTGCTCTATTTAATAAACTCGATTCTTGGGTGACCGTTCAAAATTCTAATCTAACACACAGATGTAAGGTAACTAGTAGTGATTTGAAATAAAAAAATGCAAATCTTTAAGTGCAAACGTTGACATCGTTAGTGGGTTTTATGTAAATAAATATAAAATGTCGTTAGGAATGGACATGGTGACAATTAGATAATGGGAACTCGTAGACATCCCGGCAAACTTGAGCATCGACCATAGACAAGAAAGCCTGCGCAGTAGTTTTACATACAAAAACTTCTACTGCGCAAGTTAATTTGTCTGTGGTTTTTTGCTCAAGAAGTTTTCCGCTACCTGTACAAAACACGTAAAACTGTTAAGAGTTATATATATTAACGGTTTTTAATTTACTTACATAACTGTCAACGGCAGTATACCCCGCAAGCGGATATGAAGGTGCGGCCAATGCCACTCCTAGCAGGCAGGCGAACTGAAAGTTAAATATATAAATATCAATATTGTAATTAAACTTGTGTTACATGGTTAGTATATGCATGAAAAAGAAAACAGATGAGACCCGAGTCGAAGTGTTACTAAGTGGAGAGCACCTTGAAAGTAGGAAACGTATTTAGGTATTTATTTATATTGAAACATCTTCACAGTAAGTACTTAGTTAGGGTGAATTTATTTATTTATAAACGTTTTATAAAAAAAAAGTAAATTATTAATTAAGTATTTAATTTAATTTAATTTGAGATCTCAATTAAGGTTTTGACGGAGTTCCAAAGTTAGAAAACGCTGTCTGAATTTGTAGTTTTTAGGCTAAATTTTCACAACTATTTTCACAATTAAGAAAAGGTTTAAACACAATCTGGTGTTCCCTCTTACCGCTATATGTTTGAACATGTTGACTGTTTGTTGTTAACGGTTGGCCGGCCGTGTGATGTAGATGCAGTAGCTTTGTATTCATACTAAGCGTCCAATGCTTATATACTCGTTTATAAATCCCTATTTGTCAATCTCTTACAATCCTTTATTTTCACGCTTATTAACTATTCGCGTTACTCTGTCGAAATATTTTCATAATGCGCTCCAAATCGATAATTAAAAGCGTCTCATTCATATGCACTAATTGTTTCATCAGGTTCCTGTACATATTGATCAAGAAACTAAATTGGACAAATTAAAAATATAATTGTCTTATTAGTAGCCGGTTGTAATAGGCGTTTTGTGTACCAGTCAATGTACAACTTATCTAAAAATTTTACGTGGTACTGCAAATGACCACATAACAAGCGGCATGGCAGCGGTTTTAGCAAAGGACTCGATGAAGCGACGGAAATTGGCTGGATGAGATGTCCAGGCCTAAGAGCTCGAGATGGTTTTTAACCGGCACGGATATTTCGGAAAGTCGGAGTCAGATGGAATGGACTCCGTTTCGCCGAGAAGAGACAGGCTTATGTTTTAGAGGGATTGAACCCAACCAAGTTGGCTATACCCCAAAGGGAAACAGCTTCCAGGGTTGCATTCACTCCCTTCACCATCGCCTCCCTTAAAGATCGGACATCCGCATCAGACTTCACATCAGGCAGATATCTCTCCGAGACTGTGCTGTCGTTTGCATACCCGAAGATACCGGGAGTTAGGAGCAGATCATTGATGTGCAGTAAGAATAGAGTTGCGAAGAGGACAGATCCATGGGGGACACCGGCATTAACACCAAGCAGATCCGACGATGTGCCATTAATGACCACTCGTATCGATCTGCCCCTCAGAAAAGCTGCAATCCAGTTGCAAAGTCCGACAGCGATTCCATATGAAGGAAGCTTGCCAATGAGACTTGCATGCCAGACCCTGTCAAAAGCCTTAGAAATATCAAGAGAAACGGCGAGAGCTTGGTTTCGGCTTCACTCCATAAGTGGGTAGCATACACAAGAAGATCCCCAGTAGATCGCCCATTCGGCCGGCCAATGTGATCGAAGCAGGCCTTGCGGAGAACACCTTTACAGGACTTGGCGGCACTGCTAAAGGTCTTCTTCAGACTACGAACATTCGGTGACTTGCGGGCTCGAGCATCCGCCCAGGATTGATACGCAAAATGCTTAAGCGCCTCGGCCTTGGCACAGTCCGCGTCAAACCAAGGGCGGGCGCTAAACCGGTGTGGAACGTCAGAATATGGAATAAAGTACTCCATAACCTGACGCATCACGTCAGTAATGGCAACTGTGCAGCGGGCGGAAGAAAAGCACGTGCGACGCCAAGGATAAGACGCAAAGAAATGCCGCATCTTATCCTAGTCTGCTGAACCATATCGCCAAACACGCCTAGTTCCGATAGGTTCCGGGTCGTTTGGAGAGTAGACTGATACGGACCCACACGTGTACCCACACGTGTACACTACACGTGTAGCGCTCTTCACAAGCTGGGAGAGACCTAGCGACGTAGCAAATGTGTGCGTCAATCTCCCGGCATGGTCGGTATTCTGGAACGGGAACAACCACTCATGGTGGTGTGCGTTAAAGTCCCCCAGAACAACTAGCTGTGCACTTGGATACCTTTGCTGGGCTGTTTCAGCGTAAGCGCTGAGGTACTGAAAAAACCTGGTTGTCTCCATGTTCTCTGTGTGCGACCGATAAACACTGGCATAGTGTAATTGTTCCATATCCGTGTACCTGTGTTCGCCAGCACCCATAATGTAGAGAAACTGGGATCCTCAAGGTTACGGAGACGTCGGCAGCAGATGTCATCTCGAGCATTCACGCAGGCGCCAGCGCGCGATTTGAAAAAGGGTAGGGTAAGGGTGCAAGTAAGCTGCGTCAATCGGGCTTCTTATTTGTGTCTTCGCGAGGAACAGCAGATGTGGTTTATCGGTATCGCAACTAATCATTTTGCAAGAAAAAGTTTTATACAAAATTTGTAGAAAATTTCATGCTCTCCAACTTTAATTCAAACATTTTTTTCGTATCTCCAAAAATTATTGAGATACTTTACAAAAACAAAAAATTTGGTTTTTTCACTTCAATATATCAGAAAATATCAACAATAGGGGGAAAAGTTTGGTATAAAAAAGATGGGAAATTTTGTTCTCTACAAAAAAGATCTCTTCGGTTTTTAACGTAAAACTTACCGTTTCCGAGATATATGCAAAAAAACGGTTTCCAAGATGGCGGCTAACGCTCGCGGTTTCGGGCGACAGAAACTCGGTTTTATACTTAGGGGGCACCCTCTGATATAATCCAATCAAAAAATCACGTAGAAGGATTTTATGCAGAGCGGACCGATTTTTGGTGCTAAAATTCCTGGTCTATAAGTGTTTTGATAAGATTACTCTTAGATTGCTCGTGAGCAAGTTGGTTTACACGGTGACCTCCTGAGATGGGTGACATCCTATCCCAAAATAGGACCCAAGCTGTGTAAAATAAAGAGATTTACGTCTGACTTTAATATTAAGAGAGGTAGGGCACAGAAAATTTTGGCTCGAATTGGAGCGCTCATCTGCAGAAGCAACCTCCACCTTACAGAAGACCACAGGACCTTTTAGTGGTGTTGTTTTTCTGCTGGTTCTTGCCGGACAAGGTGAGATGGATGTTGCGGCAAACTACTGTTTTCATCACAAGTAAATTACATAACTAAAAAGGCTTATAAGATGTTTGGATTTATTTTTCGTCAGTGTCGATTTCAGTGGTTCTTACATTTCTAATTTGTAATTCACTAATAAGATCTCATTAAGGAGTACGCGTCAATGGTCCGGAACACGCAGTATTCCGTACCATTATTAGTAGTAGTCAGTAGTAGTATTATATAATTTGTTGTTATCTCTTGAATCGCGCAGAGAATTAAAACATCAAACATTCTTAAGATTTGAAATCATAAGAGTTCATCACTTAAATTATGATGAAATAGATTTGTTTAGTACCATATTTTAAAAAATATTACAAATGAGGACCTAGCGAACAAAACGGTATAATTACGCATCTGGTGAAACTACTTTTTTTACAGTCCGGAGATTTCGGGCCCGTTGAATTTGAATCTCATCTAATATTTAATCAAAACCGCCTAAACCAGTGTTAAAATTACTAAATCTATAAATTAAAAACCATGCCAAAAGCTCACTGGAAGTCAGTTTTATTCAGCTCCAAAAAAAATCATTTTATGTAATTATACCGTTTTGTTCGCCAGATCCTCAAATATCCTTTTTTGGAAAAATGTAATATAAACTTAATAATAATAGTTTTTGTTTAGTTTGCTTCCTTTTAAAGTTTGCTTACAGCTATGATTTTCGTTTATCATGCCATATATTAAACTAGCTGACTCGGCGAACTTCGTACCGCCCAAAAGTAATAATTTGCAATAAATTAAAATTGCAACTATAATTTGAGATTTAAACTATCCTATCTCTCAAGTTGGATCGAACTGCACATGGTGTGCGAATTTTAATATAATCGGTTCAGTGGTTTAGGAGTCCATTGAGGACAAACATTGTGACACGAGATTTATATATATTAAGATTATAATGGATTATTTTGGCAAATTTGTAAATTAATGTCAGAAGTACTAGTATAGGTATGTATTTTTGATGGTGCATGGTTTCCTAAATAAATAATCGTTTTTGGGAATTTGTATACTATTGGCCGTGAGTAAAACAAAAATATAGAGCGCAGCTGCTACTAGACCTGTACGGATAGTACCTGAAGTTTTTCCTTAGTGCACCCTAAAACAGTTGTAGCCAATAGACGAGGCAAAAACCACATTTCATCGACTCGACCAATGCCAAATATAGTGTCTAGAGGAGGTGCAATTTTTATGCTCTGACAAACCAGAAAGGGAGACTCAGCGCATCGGTACTTGTTTGTACAAAAATTACACGCAGCTGAAACTCGATTCAAACGATGAAGAATAAAATTTATATAGCGGCGCAGTTGCAACTAATTCGGGCTCACTCGACCGCCTCATTACCCCCTTTCACTGGAAACACTCTTTC